AATTTCTCAAAATGAGCGCGCCACATACTGGAGGGAGGGGTGGAGTGGAGAAGTGGAGAGGTTAGGCACTTGAAAGTTTCCCAGCACCCCTGATTGTCCTTTCATAGTCGATTTGTGCCTGCGAGAGTACTCTGCCAGCTTAAGAAAAGTTCACTAAAGTCGAAGATTTTCGGTCAGGGCGCGTTACGGCGATGAGAAAAAGTGGACTTCTTTGGACTCTTCAGTGCTGCTGTAGCCGGGACTACTTTAATCTCAGTTTCCAACCTCATCTCCTGGCTTACCTCTCCTTACTGCTTTACCAGATTGCCTACAAAACCTTCGGCAGAGGTGATACGGTAGGAGTCCACTTGACCATAAATGGTAAAAGTCTTTTACCACCTGGAAAATTCACATCCTTCAGATCAGTATGAACACTCTCACGAAGCCAAATCCGACCCGCATCCAGAGATACTTACATACAACCCTCTTAGATAATAATTCTACACTACCGCTTCGTACCCTGTTTCCGTTCCCCTTTGAATAACTACTTTTCATCGGTGCTTGCTTTGATGTGACTAGAACTATTTTACGTGTTCCAGTGAGGTCAGCCCTGCGCTAATTCCTCTGTAGTTTTCGCCACCCTATGCAACCGCCACTTTGCGGGCCGCAGGCCGCTATAATTCGACGATCTCATCAATTTGACGGCCTGAAACTTTTTTCTTGACCCATCATCGATCACTTATCTGAAACATGAGTGCTATCGTTGCGTGAAACACATGGTTGGGGGGGGGGTCGTACTTGGCCGCTCTGGGTCGTATTTGGTCGTTGTTGGGAGAAGGGAAGTCGTACGTGCATTTGAGAGAAGTTTGCCGTGTTGGGAAAAAATTTCTCTCGGTTGTTCATTCGCGGTTTTTCCCGTTTCACATTGGCTATATATGTTGCTATATGCCCCTTCCCCGAAGGAAATTTCCGGGGAAAAGGTAGCAGATTTTTGGGACATTTCGGAGGGCACTGGTAGAAAGCTGAGAACTTGTAACAAAGTGGTAGGTAGGTGCTGGGAAAGTGGGAGGGGGGGGGGAGGGAATAGCCTAGCCCATCCTTCGGAGGGGGTGCACTGACACAACCATTTCACACATCACGGTGCTGTACTCTGCACCCTGCTATAAAAAATTGAAGGGTAAATCCGTAACAGGTAATAAGTAATAGGTAATGTGAAGGCCAAAATCGCATTCAATTTGAAATCTACAAATAGAATCTTTCTGACAGAGCAACGCCTGATGTTTTATCCTTTTGCTTTTAATATTGTCCTTCCAACTGTTTCGACGCCTACATAGGGGATCATTCTATTGCAGGAGATCTGCTCTACTGGGATCGTCTTGGCTACGTTTATTTCAAGGATCGAACTGGGGACACATTCCGATGGAAAGGCGAAAACGTGAGCACTACGGAAGTGGAGGCTATACTTCATCCAGAGAAAGGTGTGGCTGATGCTACTGTCTACGAGTTAACCGGGTGCCAAGGTGAGTGAAAAGAGTACCTCTATGACTCATAGAGAAAGTGTCTTCGGAAAATGCAATGTCTAGGACGAGAAGGTCGAGCTGGCATGGCAGCAGTGGTCCGAAATCATGATGACAACACCAGCGACGACGAGTTTGTGGAACGAATTGGTGCTCGACTGGCAACCAGCTTAACACCTTATGCTCTACCGCAATTTATTCGGCTTTGTTCCGATGTTGATAGGACAGGTGATTGAGAGTCTGACTAAGAAACTCGCATTTACTAGCTCTTGATATGAAAGCCTAAGGACACGTCTCGCGAACGAAAAGTGGCTGGGGATTTGGGCTCAATGTTACCGCCCAATCCCCAGCATTTTTGGACGTGTACTGATGAAGGTTATAATTAGCCTATATATTGAAGTAAAAAGCAGGAAAACCTCTGAATATGCGCCAATACGCCAAGACCCTAAGCCGAACTAAGCTTGCAAAGTGAGGTCGGGCGAGCTATCACTCGTTGGTATCATACGATATCAGCTCTTTTCCTCTATCGCTTCTTTTTTCACCATTTGGATGAAAGGGAATAAGCGCCATTCGGTCGATGTTTTTGAGAAATTAAACGCCTGAGTGTGCATTGACCTTCGTTAGTGAGTGGCGGTCTTCATGATGTATCTCTGAGCGGCGAAGTGATGCAACTTCCGTGTCCTACGGACAGAACTACCTGTCCAAGGAGAACGTCTGCACCCCTGAGTGTAATAATTGACTTCAACTCATTGCTTCAACTGCTAGAAATCACTCCTTTGCCTCATGAACAGGGTTAATCGCCTTATTTCTGGTCCTTTTTCACATGGCCCTGCACTACTTTCCCAGCTCCAAAGGCCACACAGTGATTATCAATGACTTCCAAAAAAGCGCTCTTAGGACCTACAAAGGTAATTCTACAATGTGGAAAGCGACTGATCCGAGCGATGCGATACAATCTTGTCGAGTGCCGAATAACAAAATAAAAAAAACGGGCTGGTCCTCCACCAATCCCATCCCTTTTGACGCGCCCCTTCATCTGCAGCGGACAGGATGCACGTCAAAAATCGCATGAGGAAATCATTCCAGTGACCCATAAAAAGACCGCATGCGCGGAGCTTACCTCAGGTCCTAATTGGTTACTATGGACGTGCTACACTACCCATCATCTAGCTGAGGAATACTAGCATCTTTGAGCCATTTTTAATAAATGTTCCGCCCAACAACCTCGTATCACCTGTATCACCTGTGCTCCCGTTCTTCCGATTGAAGATGATGTGGTCGATCTCATTATGGAATTGTCCACCAGGAGACTCCCATGTCCAGCGTAGAGAGTAGGGCTTCTGGAACTGCGAGTTACCATGGATGGTATGGGTCGACATGATAAACTTCATGGACAGCCTTTTCACCCTGCTCATTCCACTCCGTTCCGTGAGTTCCGATGTGAAGTTCTTCAGCCGTTCTTCTTGGTCCGATCTTAGCGTTGAAATCACCGACGATGACCTTGAAGAAGGTATGATCTTCCTTGTAGAACTTCTCCAATTCCATATAGAACGCTTCGAGCTCATCCTCGTCGTAGCTTGATGTTGGTGCGTAGGCGACGAAGATTGTCAAAGCTGGAGTTGAACCACATCTTCTCAATTGCAAACGTCCGATTCGGGTCGTCAGACTTTCGTACGAATCGATGTTCATGGCCAAGTGCGGTTGACGAGGACGCCCACACCGCCAACGCCTCTGCTGTCGCATGTTCCGAGGAACAGTTCTTCTCCAGTCTCGCTATTACGGCTGTCTAGCGGGCGATTGGCTCCTCGTGTCGCGTGCATCGAGACGTCCGTGCTTCGATCTTCAGCTGGCTTGCAACATCAAGATTCTCGATGTGAGCTTCCCATGCCAAGCGTCTCGTGCGTGAAGTACAGATCGTCAGTCTAGTATCCTGGCGACTTAAACTCCGTCGCGCGCCTGTGATTCTTGCACCCATAGCGGTCCAGCCGACGTCACCTGTCGGTGGTTCCATCAGGTCAGGATGAGACGTCCATAATACTGTATGTTTTTCGGGTGAAGAAATTGACACGCGTAACTCGCGTAGGCCTCCGACGTGCATGCCTACGCATTGGGTAGGGTTAGGAACAATCCAAACGCGTCAACCCTACGCCCACGTTGAGACTGCGGATAGGATAATAACTGCGAAATAAACGCGAAGACCTCACCACGTTCATCATCGCGGCATATTATCGATTGTCTTGACACAACCACTATATTTACCATGACCTTCAATAAGGCAACTCATTTCAATATGTAATTCAATTCAGGGACTTTCAAGCTGGTGAAGACGAATCTCCAACGACTCGGCTACAGGTTGGATGTGCCAGACAACAGGGTCTACATCTACAATTCTAAACTGCGAAACTATGAGCGCCTAAGTGAAAGCGCGATTGGCGAACTCGATCGTGGGACCTATCCACTGTAAAGTCCTACACTTTGTCCTCCGCTCTACTCCTCTTTCTCAAGGCAGCTGTTTTCAGGTGTTAGACCTAATTATTGGGGCATAGTGGATTTCATTTGTGTAGCACGGAGAAGCACCACTATAGAAGTGCCCCTAATAAGTATCCTAATTCATTCCATATGTATTGATTGTTCACAGAACTTCTTAGTGCCTTCCGATGTTTACAGGTTGCAGACGAAACAGCTCAAACTAGAGCTATTTATAGCTATTTATTTACATTTTGTGCCTAGATAGTGTTCTTTAGTTGGCTGCTGCTTTACGTTGTTCGCTGTAGATTATCCGTTCATTCACTTCATTCTCTCTTTCATTACTTAACATCCTACTGTATTCTATTTATTTTGTCATATCTATGCCCATGCATGAGCCCTGTGTTAAGTTTATGAAACTAGTCTTTCAACGCAGATCAGATTAGTATTGATGGCTAATGAAAATATTGTTTTTATTTATTGTATTTTTCGTATTGTGAATGAAATGCTTCACTAGGCAACATTTTATAAATATTTCTATAAATATCAGCAAGCACCGAACGATAAAAGTGATCAATAAATGCAGTGGAGCACGGTCCATATGGCTCAAAGTTGTCCATCCTTGAGATTCGCCGGAAGTGCGCGTTCTGGAAGATTTGTTTTATAAAGATTCTAGAAACAAAGAGAGGATTCTAGTAAAACAGAGGTTTTCCTGGTACAGTGCGAACGGGTTCCCTGCTGTGTGACGCGGCGTGGATCGAAGCTCAGCCAGGGCGGTCTTTTTCGCCAATGATGCCATCCTGAGCCCGCAACTGGTGGGAAAACTGCCTTTGCTGCGCCTCTAACAAGGGAGGTCTTTGAGGTCGTGGCGCGTTTTTTAAAAATGGTTTGTTGCTTGTTGTAGGGGTCCATGCAAGGTTTACAAAAATGGGTTTCATTTTTGCTATGCGTTTCTGGGGAGGTCAAAACTGAGTGAAAATTTGACGAGAAATCGCGATTTTAACCGTGTTAATGGGCTCTGTTGTAGCTGTAACTTTGACAGTGCATAATTCATGAGGTGTCCCTTCACTATGTATTGAAAAGCAAAGTAAAGCCAATAAGAAAGTGGACGGAGGGGAGTAATACCGAAGTTACTTGAACGATTCTCGCAACCGCTGTTTCGCGGTCGGCGGATGGCGGAGTGGATAGTGCGGTGGGCTCTCGCGAAGAAGGTTCTTGGATCGGATCCCCTTGGCGACTAACTCTTTGCATTTTTCGGATACTTTATACGTTTTTCGGTTTTGGATTTACGACACCCATTTTGACCCACGCGCGCCAGCCTCAGAACTTGCTGCAAGAGCATTCTTCCACTGAATTGTTGCCAACCCGCACGCAGGGGCTGTTAAGCGCTCATCTCGAGGAGAAAATTTTTGCTGAAAGTCTGTATATAGAGGTTATTAATGGTCCTGATGACGATTCTGACCTTCAAAATTGGCGTCTAGGTCATTTGGCGCCAACATGGCTCTGAACACCCCCCCTCACGCCAGCTGCGGGTTGGGATGCTGCGAGAATCTCTTGAGAAACTACAATGCTGCCTCACTATGTGCCAAATAAAGTACTTTTTTACCTTGAATTGTATTGTTTTCGATGCACTGTCAACGAAGGTCTCATCTGCTATGACATTATGAATAGAAAAAGCCTCGGAAAAATGGTTCAAAATCGCTTCTCCCCAGCAAACTTTGCACTCAGTTTTGACCTACCCAGAAACGCATAGCAAAAATGAAACCCATTTTTGTGATCCTTATTCGGACCTCTACAACATGCAACAAATCATTTCCGAAAAGCGCGCCACGACCTGAAAGACCTCCCTTGTAAGCCACGCCCCTGTCACAAGCGTATTTTTTGCAGGGATAATGTCCACGTGAGGGATTATAGATGTGCCATGTATGATTACAGGGATCCGGTTCACGAAATGACCCCTTTATGGTGACCCCTCAACCTTTTTTGCCCACTCAATCTTCCGTCACCGGCAAAAGATAGCGCAGTGGCTAAGGTCTCTCGAAGGAGTGATTCAGCCTAGTCATTAGTTCTACCCGTTCAGGTCTGTCTGAAAAACCTTTGAACTTTCGAAGCTGATTAATCTTTTTTGGGATGAGGAAGGCATCCATTTCCCTTTTCACTGGCTAACTCAATGCTGTATGGTCTACACCATTAACTACAGATGTGAGCCAGTCTTCCGGACGAATTTGAAGGCCTAGTCGCGGATGGTAGGATCCCAGCTCCCCTGGCCGAGAACCAATCCGGGATTCGGCTTGTAAGGGCATGTGGCGTAAGCAGGTCAGCCGCTACTACACCATCTTCGCCCAAGAAGCTACCCAACAGGCACCAAATTCAGTGGGAGGATAAGGAATGCTTATGCAGACATCCCGACTTGCACTGCACCCCCCCCCTCTCCCTCCTCGTTATTAGACCTAGACTAAGCATTTATTCAAAAGTTTTTGAAATTACGGAAAGTGTGAGTGTCGGCTGAAAGGTGCATTGTCGCAGCGACGCGGCGTTCCAAGTCAACTAGCCAGAAAGTACTAGCCAGTTTCCCGCGTCGAAGACCCTTTTCATTCTGAACGAACGTCTTCAAAATGTGCATTTCGAAGAGGCTACCCAAGACGAAGTGCTAAGATTTTTCCCCAGTGCTCAGATTCTCTACCTTACGCAGTTATTCGCTGGATCCTACCCCACCCCCTACTTATGTTCCTCGATGTTCTTAGCTAACCTCGGAAAGACATATTGCGGTGGTTGACTTATTAGTTATATTGAGACCTACCGATCTGTTTAGGATATTCAAGGTTGAGCTTGTTCATAAGTTGTACAAACTCGTCCTCGGATTTGGTCAGTCTCGGATTGAAGCGCTTCTCTTCAGCAACCTGAAAAGAATGTTTCTTGGCTGAGACTTCCATAGGTATTATACATAAGTTACATTCAGTATCTAAGGATAAAAAGGGGCATTCTCAATAGATACTTGCGAGCGGTGACGGCTATGAATGTCCAAGCAGAAGAGAGGCAGAGACTCATGTAGAAAAGAGATGAGTAATCATGGGAATATCGTCGCCGCTTTCGTACAGTCATTATCATTGAATCAATCGGGGCGTGTCAGCGACTCGTGGATGCAGTCTGTGATCCTGTCTGTGCATTGGGGCGCTCAATGAGTGGTGGAAAAGGGGCTTGCGGTCAGGGCACGCCATGGCGTTGTGATCATTTCCTGAAAAATACGACCCCTCCTCCCTAATTCCATCCTCAAATGCGACCCCCCCCCCCCCACCTCCCATGCACCTACCATGTTTCGTGTAATTTTTCCAATCTTCTACCGCTTTTCATTTGTGGTCGGTCGGCGTGAGAAATTTCCTAGTTTTTTCAGCACAAGTCATTTTCCTTCGAGCGGAAGGGGTGAGCGTCCGCCAGAGATTTAACCTCATTTTCAACTGTCGATATATAGTTTCTATAGATTCTTTGGGCAGTCCTACTCCTTCCTCCCCCCTTATAGCGTCTCAAAAAAGAGAAAATCAACTGTAAAATTATACGACGCGTTCCCCTCCCTTCTGCTGGCAAAATACACCCCCCGTTGTGTATCATCACAACGATGGTCGTGCCCTGGTTGCGGTGCTAAACACCCGGACTGAGTCTCGAGTTTGACGACACATGTCCCACTTATCTTGAATACCCTTTTGAGTCCCATCACCATCACCCCCCCTCGGGTATGAGGGTACGTGTAAAGAGCTCCTACACCATGGCAGGCATCACGAGAAGAAACAAACTTGTGTACGCTTCAATGAGAACTCAAAATTACAAAAACGAAAGAGAGCTTTCTAAATTTCAGTTGATTAATTTTCCTGAGCCTTCGTGAAGCGTAGCATTCCTGCATAATGATAATTTCAGACACCATTCCTATTAAGATTTTACCCATACCTTTCGTGAAAACTGAGGGGAATATTAATGATGTACATATTAAGGTGCAGGGTTTTGATTTCAGCTCTAGAACTTGCGCGAGCTGAAGCGCCCAGAGAAAACCTTGTTTGACAAGGAAGGCCTGAGATTTTCCTGAAACGCATCTTGGACCCATTCCTCTTATCCCAAACGTGAAGGAAACATCTCTCACTTATATTAGGTCGAAGCAATCCCAGATTTTGCAGCATGTGAACTAACCGATGTCGTTAGTAGTCCATTATAGTTGTGTCCAACATAGAGAAGAAAATCGTCCGGAAGAGAGAGAATCTTGTCCCAAACAGATCGGTAAAGTGTGTGAGGATTTCCTGCAAGTAAGAGGGCTGACTGCGTTCTAGTGGGTGAACATGGAACTCGGGACATTGTGAACGTGATTAGCAGCTAAGATTTGTCCCATGATTGATGATTCTCACCTTGTTGGAAATCAGTTCTTCCACAGCCTCGAATCAGTAGCGCATCTCCCGTGAAAGCCATCTTGTGTGCATGTGAAACATAGGTTAAACATCCTGAAACATAGACGTGAGCGATTAAGTCTCGGCTCAACAATCTGCAGAAAATAGTGCCTGAATTCTAGACTTGGAGGCTTGGGTGAATAAAACGGATAAAAGGTTCGCCAATCCTTTCTGGGATGCGGCACTCACTCTACTTCCATTCGGAATCGTGGTGGCTTATTGAATTTGATGTGGCCTGTCGCTCTTATCCTCCCAGACAAGTCTGGTACCCATACACGGTTTCCAGAGCGTAGAAGACTTGGTTGGCCTGGGTGGGAGTCGAACCGGGATTCATCCTAGGCAGGATATTGATGCGGAAATGATGCTATACTCAAGAAGATAGGAATCTGCTATTCCATCAGAAGTTTGAGAGAGGTTTGGGAGAGATGGCGCTCAAGTTCTCATTTTCGGACGCCCTTCAACTATTGGGTTATTGTGAACATTTCAACAAAATTTACTTTTCAATCCAGTATATCATAAGAGTCAACGTTCAATCGACCAATCAGTTTACCATCGGTATGTCCAGGAGTTGTTCGCACTTCAAGGCTCTCGTGGCCAAATTTAAGCTTGTCACCATCATCAACGTAGTGATCAGCTTTGCCACCGGAATGCTTCGATAGAACTGATTTCATGGCTGGATATGCCTAAACTAAATATATTGACTGGCCGCTGAGGACTTTCATGTGTTAATTTTGCTAGATCAGCTTTTCAAAAGAACTCTATGGTTCCATCGCTGAATTACGGCACCTCAAAGCGGTTGCAACGAGATGTTGCGGGGCAGCTGAAAGGGCCTGGCTAATACAAAAGTGTAAACTGACGGTCAGGCTCGGTCTGACATGTGGAAACAGAGCGCCATGCCGATTCAGGCTTTGATGGCAGGCCCGTTTTGCATGTGCACAACGCGACGCCACGTGCACCACCGCAGCTAGGGTGTCCTGTCCCGCGGATTATGGAGAAACTCACCCATACGCGTATGCGGCGCGGTTTTTTTTGACGTCACCGCGGCGGCAGGGTGGAAGCGAGGCGATGGCCTGCGTCTCCGCCACTGTGCTCCAATCAGCAGCCGCTTTTATGAGGAAGGAAAAAGAGGGGAAAAAAGAGAGAAAAGAGGATTGAACAAATAGTGGATGCTTATAGGTGAATTAGTGTAGTGGTGAGCAGAGAATACAGAAAAGTCGACCATCAAGGCGTATTACTTCAGTCCATGGCGAAACTGGCGAAATAGTCCCCTTCGATTGCGAAAACGACGCAAACAGCTCGTACGCTAACGTTAAACGTTATAAGGTCACAACCAACTGTTGGCAATTTGCCAAACCTTCGTCGTCCTCACCTTATAACGTTTGCGTAAGAGCTGTTTGCGTCGTTTTCGCGATCGAAGGGGACTATTTCGCCAGCTTCGCCATGATTTAGTAATACGCCTCGATAGTCGACTTTTCTGTATACTCTGCTCACCACTTCGCCTATGAACATCCACTACTTGTTTGGTCCTTTTTCCTCTATATTCTTTCCTCTTTTTCCTTCTTCATTAAAGCGGCTGCTCTTTGGAGCACAGTGACGGAGGCGTAGGCCGTCGCCCTTCGCTCCGCTCTGCCGCCGCGCTGACGCCAAAAACCCGCACCGCATACGCGCATGGGTGAGTTTTTCCACGGAGCCAACTAGTTGATTAGACATAGGCACAGAGACAGCTAGTCGACTTGAGGGATGCAGACGCTGAGAGGGTAGAGAGGGTCGAAGACCCACACTGAGCGAGTCGGGTCCTGCTGCAAACGCAGCACACGCCACTTGTCTTGCAAATTTATTTACACCTACTACTACCTTTATAACTTTACTTTATACTTTATTTGACCGCACTCGCAGCGACTGGGAAGTAACGCTCCACGCCTGTGCGTACAACTACACTTGAAATTGTGACATCTGCTTCACACTTTTCGGAAAGATTTAGAAGTCTACGACCGAGCTATCCATCTGTATTGCATTCTCAGTCCGAATAAAAACTCTTACTCAAATATCTTACCAACTTCAGTACTCCAGTACCCGTGACATGATCTGCATGAACGTGCGTGTTCAACCCGTAGACCAAATCCAGCTCAAGATCTCGAAGAATCTGTAATCCACATATCTTTGGTAAGGCTTTTGATCACTGAAAATTGTAAGAAAACGTCAAGATTTTCTAATAACTAACAGACTATCTCTCATAAAACGGATAAGATTGATAGGAGTCATTAACAGGCAGCACGTCAGACGGTGCAAGTAGCACGATAAATTCCCCCCAGACGTGTGACTTAATGACGCCTGAGCAAAGGATCACTGCAGCGCCACTGAGCTTAGGTGCGGACAAAGCTATTCCCAAGAAAGCTACCCTTACAGCGCCTTATCACGCTGCAACATACCGACCAGGACGCCCACCGCGCCCGCTCGCCCATAAATGTCCAACCGATTGCTGGTGCGTTGTTACCGATTCTTTGCGAAGTACAATACAAATCAAGTTATAGGTATGAAGCAGCTGCGGTGCTGTGTGGATATACGGTACATGCATGCAGCCGTATCTACGTTGTTGGCACGATGCCAGCGGGAAACTCGTCCAGAATTTCCTTCATAGTCATGCAGAACAGAAGGCTTCTTTTGCAGGTTTTGACTAATTCTTTTCGTTTTTTCGCCACTTCCCCCACTGATAGCACCCTACTAGCATTTTAGATCGAGTGCCAAGTTATCGTGCCATATGCCTTTGAAGGTCCTCTCTTCCATGTCAATGCCTTCTACCTCATTGTGTTAGGTAAGCTTGTAGCAAACCCATAGTACCCGCATACTTGGGGCCTCATCGAACACTTGACCGTCATAGGCACTCACCTGAGCATCCCTATGAGCAGTCTCAATGACTGGATCGATGATAACAGCTTTTTTCGTCGCAGCGCATCCAAGAATGTAGGTATACGTATTCGAGGCGTATTCCACCATCTAAATACGGGCAGTTGTTGAGTTCCCATTCAAACCGTACAGGCTAAATGTGGCCTGTATTGTCATAACAAAAAGAACCAGGTCAAGTTGCACATACCTGTCGGAAAATGAGAGGATGCACCTTCATTTTGGAAGCACTACCTGATCAGTCGCAATATTGCTGAAAATAAGTAGTAAGGGACTCGACGGTAAAGGAAATTTGATTCGAACGATTTGGAATTTGAACGATTCGAAGTATTGGATACAGAACGAGATGCGCTGTTCGGTTTAGGGAGGGCATTTGGCACTTTCGCCACTTCCTCTTGCCAGTGCATGGTAATTGACAGGTTGCACTTTTGTGAGACCTGTAAACTGGTTGTATTGTTTCACACCGTATGCAACGGTATAAATGAACTACTTTGGTTGCAGGAGTTTACAGGTCCTCCTCAAAAGTGGTCTGATCCAGCCTTGCTAAGTATATTCGGTGCCCCCAAAAAGAGGAACTGTACTGAAGGGCCTGCTGAAACCACATTGATTACTAAATTTGTAGATGATTGAGAAGTTGCAT